AATACTGTTTGAGTACTAGTTATAGCATTAAATCACAATGTATAGCACACTAAGGACAGAGATCCTACATGAGGAGTAAGTGCACAGTGACTCCTGTTGTTGACTTAACAAATTGACACTCTTGTTTATGGCATCAGTAATCACCCTAGGCTCTTGTCATGAGCTGCCAAGGCTATGGAAGCCCTCTGAGTTCACTGACTCTGATCATATTTAGACAAGGCCATGGTCAAAGTGGAAGTTCTCTCCTCCCTTCAGAGAAAGGTACCTCCTTCTTTGATGACCCGTTCTTTCCAGTGGGATCTCACTCACAGAGATCTTTCATTTAGGTTTTTTTTTTTTTTTTTTTCCCCAGAGTGTCTTGGCTTTCCATGCCTGAAATACTCTCATGGGCTTTTCAGCCGGATCTGCATGCCTTAAGGGCTGATTCTGAGGCCAGAGTGCTGTTTAGGACATCTGCCATTCTATGGGTCTGCTGTGTATCTCACTTCCCATGTTGGACCATTCTCTCCCTTTTTGATTCTATCAGCTAGTATTTGCAGACACTGTTCTTGTTTATGTGATCCCTTTGGTTCTTAGTCCTGTCATTATGATCAATTGTGAACAGAAATTGATCACTGGGACTAGTGAGATGGCATTGGTTCATGCCACCTTGATGGGATTGAATTGGAATCCCCTGGTATGTTTCTAACTCTACCGTTTGAGGTAAGTCAGCTTGAGCATGTCCCGAATTGCACATCTCTTCCCTCTCTTATTCCCACTCTTAGATTTAACAGCAATCACTTTTCAGTTAAGTTTCAGCACTTAAGAATAATTGTATATTGATTACATCCAAAAGTATTAAGTAGAACAAACAAAAAAAATACTAAGAGGGATAACATATTAAGTTGTTCATCAACAGTCAGGGCAAGGGCTGATCAAGTCACCATTTCTCATAGAGTTCATTTCACTTTAACAGGCGAAACCTAATTTTTAAAATTTTTTTTTATTTGACAGATACAGATAGAGTTAGACAGTAAGAGAGAGGGAGAGAAAGAGAGAGAGAAAGGTCTTCCTTCCGTTGGTTCACTCCTCAAATGGCTGCCACAGCCGGTGCTGTGCCGATCCAAAGCCAGGAGCCAGGTGCTTACTCCTGGTCTCCCATGAGGGTGCAGGGGCCCAAGCACTTGGGCCATCCTCCACTGCCTTCCCGGGCCACAGCAGAGAGCTGGACTGGAAGAGAAGCAACCGGGACAGAATCTGGCCCTCATATGGGATGCCCGTGCTGCAGGCATAGGATTAACCAAGTGAGCCACGGCACTGGCCCCTCAAACTTAATATTATTCATTGATTGTCTAAATACACAGGGCTTCTAAAAGTCCATGGAAATCACTCATTATATTTTAATGCCACTTTTCCGTGAATGTTTTGAAGCTCCCTTGTATGCTCCAGACAAGAGTCTCCAATAGCAAGTTGTAGTGATCAGGATAGAAGCATCGGCATTTAAACGATTTACTATAGGCTATACTGTCCTACTTCTAAAAGTAAATTATAATATTGATAAATAAAAATAAACTATCTGAGACAGCTCATTTCCCAAGTAAGTTTGAATAATGTTTCCTAATGGCATGATTGAGCATCTTTAATAACCTCCCAAAAATGGGATAAGGAAAATCAAGTTCTACCAAGAAATTTAATTAAATAGCTGACACTACATTAGGCATGTATAAATCCTTCAGTAGATAAAGGAAGTAAAGACAAAATAGTTGGTCAGTCACAAGCTACATGACTCAGGCATCTTACCGCACCCAGTGTTATTCCATTTCTTTCCCAGGCTAGTAAATATTTTATTCCTTTTCAGCTTGTACTTCCTTTTTCTCTTTATCAACTCTACTCTATTCAAAACCTACTAGCAATGCTCACTTCTGTTCCCACATTTAGCCAGCAGCCATGACATTTATAGCAGGTCATGCATAGGTACAACCTACCAGCAATTTCTCCCTTTTCAGGCCACCAGATCCCTAATTTATTCTAGAATCTACCTCTCATTCGTCTCAACTGATATCCTCAGGGTCACAGTTAACCATAAGGATCTTATCTTCCTCAAATTAAGATCAGTTTGCAGAAAGTACATGCGATCTAATTTGGCCAACTTATTCTACAACATCTACTGGGTACCTGCCACGTAGCAAATATTAAGTATTGAAGAAATGGCAATGAACAAAGCAGAACTATCTCTGCTGACATGGAGCCCAAATCTTAACTGGGGAATAAATAAATGTAACAGAAAGAAAGAGTATTAAAGGACATATGGGCAAAGATTTTTCACTTTTAGTGTTTAGAATAAGGCTGAAGGAAGAAAATTTTCCTTATCTTCCTTTGACATTGATGAGATGCTAGGAGCTTTGGCAACATGGAGAGGAGCTGGCCAAACCCGCTAGGATGACGATGCAGAAAGATGGAAAGGACCATCACTAAGCTGCTGAATCATTCAATCTGGCCACCACCATGTGGGAGCCGCTGTTACTTGTCTCCTGTTATACTCATGACACAGATTACAGGACTTGTAGGAAATATTTCAGACCAATTGATCTGACCTGTGACCACTTTTATAGGCAGAGTTAACTGGAAAACCCATTACATCTTGCTAATATATGACATTAGCTAAACGAGTGAATATATAACCTGTTTTGATAAGCTTATGGATTGGCCACAGAGGAAGAAAAAATATGTAGCATGAAGGCACACAGGCAGTCAGCCCAGTAAGTTTAGAAAATATATGTAGACACATTTCAAAGAGAAACTTTGTAGATATGTTTCAGCATTTCAGACCTAGATTGCTATTATCAGGCAAAGAAAGCATAGGTGTTTTTCATCACAGAAATGCAAGGTTATTTTGAAGCTTTCTTTATTCATAAACAATCACCCATCTCTATAAATAATGATTAGTGATGGCTCATTGTAACAACTTGGAAGTATATGTATTAATTAATTAGTTTTTAATAAATTAACTTTAGAAGTAAAATATATTTCATGATGAAAATTTTAGATGAACAAAACATTTTGTGTGCAGCTATAGAGATAGATAAGATAGTCATCCAATATTCCTAGCAACTTTGTGAGAAGAAACTATTGTTTTCCAAAATTTTGAGATGATAAAGCAAGGAGAAGGGATGTACCTCCTCCACCACTACCCTCCCCCACCCCACCCCACCTCCCCACCACACTGCCTGATGCATAAAAAGAGTGACAACTCCTTATTGAATGCAGGAATGTGTAGGCATCTATAGTTGTGCAAGAGATATTCATGGTTTCTTTTCACAAAATGGTATGGTCCTTCCTTTTCAAACTTTACACTTCGGTTCTTGAGACAAGAGTTAAATCTCTCTCCTTCTCCCCTTCCCTCTCTATGTCTCCTTCTTTCTTTCATCCCTCCTCACTGCTTCTTTTTCCCTCTCTCCCTATTTCTTTCCTGTTTTCCTCCCTTCTGTTCTTCATTCCTTCCTTCCTCACTCTTTTTAAAGACTTATTTTATATATTTGAAAGGCAGTTACTGAGACAGAGAGGAGGAGAGATGAGAGAGAGAGAGATCTTCCATCCACTGGTTCACTCCCTAAATGGCCGCCATGGCCAGGGGTGGGCCAGGCTGAAACCCTAAGCTAGAGCTTTATCTGGGTCTCCCACAGGCATGCAGGGCCCCAACTCCCAGGAGCACTAGCAGGGAACTCTATCAGAAGTGGAGCAGCCGGGACTTGAAGTTGTGCCCTTTTGGGATGGGAGCACTGCAGGCGGCCTCGCCCTTTAGACCTTTCCTCCTTCCTTTCTCCCAGCTTCCTTCCTTCCTTCCTTCCTTCCTTCCTTCCTTCCTTCCTTCCTTCCTTCCTTCCTTCCTTCTTTCCTTTCTTCTCCTTTCTCCCTATCTTCCCCCTTTCCCTTCACTCCTTCCCGTCCTCCTTCCCATTCTTTATTTTTTTCTTTCAGCAATCATTGTGTGCCTTCCATGGAGTAGGAATTTTGTGTTGTATATGAATAAGACAGAGAAAATATCATTTTTGCCCTTTTTATGATATTCCAAGAAAATAAAGGATACGTTAAAGACTGGCCAGGTGATTATGATCTGGTGAATGGTGAAGTTAGTGCCTTAGTTCAGGCTGCAATAGCAAAGCAGCATAGACTGGATGGTATGATCTATAAACAACAGAATTTATTTCTCACAGTTCTGGAGCCTGGGAGATCCAGGAACAGGATGCTAGCACTGTTGAGTTCTAGTGAGGACCCTCTTGGGTTTCAGACAACCAAGTTGTCATTGCATTCTCACATGGCAGATAAAGGGAACGGGAGCTCTCGGGGATCCGTTTTATAAAAGGACAAGCCTCTTTCATGAAGGGCTAACCATTATGGCCTTGTTACCTCCCAAAGGCCCCACCTCCAAATACTACCACACTGGGGTTTAGGATTTCAACATAATGCGTTTTAGGGAGTTACAAGTACTCAGTTCATGGCAGCAACAGAAACCCAAAGGGAAGAGAGGGAAAACTGAGCAGAATTCATGTGGAGATATTTAAAGGAAAAAAAGAGATGCTTGAACTGGATTTAATAAGGAAATGAGAATACAGAAAGTTTGGGGAAAATGCAAAACAAAAGTACATGTGTAAAGACGTAGGCAGGGAATTCTAGGGGCACTGATTGGCTTGCTCTGTGAAAGGTAGGTATTTTCTAGAGAAGAGTCATGAGAGGTAAGTTTGGAAGGGTAGAGAAGGGTTGCCTAGCAGAAGTCTCAGGAGGGCAGTGATAACTTGGTCTAAAGCTATACACAGGGCTGGTGCCGCGGTTCAGTAGGCTAATCCTCTGCCTTGCGGCGCCGGCACACCAGGTTCTAGTCCCAGTCGGGGTGCCGGATTCTGTCCTGGTTGCCCCTCTTCCAGGCCAGCTCTCTGCTGTGGCCCGCAAGTGCAGTGGAGGATGGCCCAAGTGCTTGGGCCCTGCACCCCATGGGAGACCAGGAGAAGCATCTGGCTCCTGCCTCTGGATCAGCGCGGTGCGCCGGCCACAGCGCGCCGGCCGCGGCGGCCATTGGAGGGCGAACCAATGGCAAAGGAAGACCTTTCTCTCTGTCTCTCTCTCTCACTGTCCACTCTGCCTGTCAAAATAAATAAAGAAAGAAAGAAAGAAAGAAAGAAATAAAAAAAAATGGGAAACCTTTAAACACAGCCAATAGAATACAGAAAAGAGTTTAAGAACTGTCTGGCGTGGGTGCAGGCAATGACAGACAAAACTGGACTCTGACATCTGAGGTGAAGTAGAATACTGTAGAATACTGAAGGAAGTGTGAACAATTCCAGTCCAAAGAGCCACACTAAAAATGGAAGGGATAGGGTGATGTTTGTCCAGTTTACTGAATCTGAGACCCCCAGAATAAGGGTGAAGCACAACATGAAACTTTTTAACTGTTAGGGTTTGATTATAGAGTTTAGCATAAAAGTAGGAAATAATTTAAACAACAGAATCACCAAACCCATCAGTACTTGAAGACAAAATTTTGATTTAAACAGTATAACCAAAATGTTAGTTTCTCAAAATGTGCAGTCTCTTTAACTCATTCATTGTTTTCAATTGTTCTGAATTAAATTTTAAATGCTAAGTTGGCTAATAAAAATCTCATTTAATGAATAAAATAATCCCCTAGAAAAATGTTCTATTAACCCAATGGCATGCTACGACTATTAAAAAAGCCTGGGAAACGAATAGGGAAAAAAAGAGCGTTTTAGTGAGATGAAACATCCAAACGTGAAGCTACCCGGATTGTGCTGCTCAGGAGTCTCAAAGGAGAGCAATGCTAAACAGTTTCAAAGGTCTCTCTCAAGCCAAAGCCCCTGGGCAAAGCAAACTCCTCCAAGAATTATGTTCTAAATTAGCTAGTGTTCTTCTAGATCATTGATCAGAACTTTATAACCAGATCTTGAAATTAAAAACCATCCATATTACATGCTCTGTCAATATTTTATGCATTATATTAAGAAAGAACTGTGCAGTTTAAGTTTCTCATCGGCTCTCCGCCTCCAAAAACATCAGTTGGGAAAGTGTGACTCAGATTCTCACCTGGCAGGTAGAATACAAAATGTTCTCTTTTCACTCATGAAGATGAGCCTGGACTCAGGCCAGGGAGAATCGCTCTGGCTAATGCGTGAACATTCGTTGATAATATTTTAACCATGAGCTTTTGTTATTTAAAGATGGCCATTTTTTTTGGATTATTTAGTGAATGTGAGTATCTACCTGGGTAAAACTTACTGAAATTACATCTTTCAACTTGAAAACTTTGATGTGAAAATTTTCTGAACTGCCAATTAAAAGAAAAAACAATGACACACTGAATTTTCCAAAGGTGAAAGAACATAAATAGTATTGAAAAGACGCCACAGAGGAACTGATATTCTGCCCAATTCTTCCGGTCTCCAAAATGCATTGCTATTACACACCTTGGTCTTTACAGAATGGTGATGCTTTTTCTTTTCACACCCAACTCTCTCTATCCCTGGGTGAAGCAGCGTACTAGTCAGCTAAAATCAGGAAATACTGCAGCTATAACCTAAGGTAAGCTTCAGCCGACAAAAGAATCTGCTGTAAGAGAAAGGGATGGGAAAGATACTTCTTGACCTGCCACCCTACCAGTTAGAAACTGAGAGTGTGCATGCGCATACGTAATGCGCAGTCTACTGCTGGAGTTTCTCCTCCATGTCCTGTTTCCTCCAGCACAAAATGTTCATAGGAGCCCATCACCCAGCTCTGCAGTGTGATTTCAGACTGCACAATCTTAGCACCTCAATATTTAGCACCACCTAATAGGAAATATATCAACTCAGGATAGGTGTCAGAATATACCATAGAATAAAATGCGACTACAATTTTGGACAGGCGTTTCACCAGATACTTGTATTCAACATGCTTTGCTTTTTATTTTTCTTAAAAGACTGATTTGGACATCATAGTCTTTTTCTTTTTTAACTGACCTTTACAACTACAAGTTGGTCTCAAGGCTTTAAGGTGCTATGGGCAAATTTCTAGAAGAAAAATTTCCAGGTAAAAGTTGAGAAGATAATTCAATGACATCCATTAAGCTCTAGGACAGGAATTATGAGCAATTGAAGTTCCAGCCTCTATATTTGCATGTTATATTTAATTAAGTGCATCACAGTATCCTGTAAATCAAGTATGTATGGCATGCCTAAAGAACGATAGAATAAGACCAATGGGGCAGTTACAAAGTTAGGAACAGAAAAAAGAAGATAAAATTTTCCAGAAAAGGGTAGGATAATAAACACATAATCTCTTCAAAAAATGTCTGATAAGCTACAGAATAAAATAAATATCATTTTAAATAAAAATGTGTAAGAGAAGCCTTCAAAAGTTCGTGGAAAATGTAATTAAAAGAGAAGTATATTTTAGTGGAAAAAATTTGGAAATCTGTGTATACAAAGAGTCTTCAAAAAGTTCATGGAAAATGCCAATTATGAAAAGATTGCATGGGCTTCAGGAATTTTTTAAACTAAAATAAAATAAAAAAATCTTCCAAGCCTATTTTTCAGTGAATGTTTTGAAGTGCCATTATGTTTAAATTATTTCAAAAATCAATATCTGACATATATTTATTCATATATTTGAATCCCAGCAGAAAAAATACATAATATATATATACATGTATTTATCATTAATATATATTTCATCCTCTTGTAGGCATTATTACTATCCTCTGTATATGTTGCCTTAGCACTTAAGAGAAAGTTTTTAATATTCTCATTTTAAAAGATTTACATCATTTCTCTTGATCCCTAGGACACTGTCATTTTCATGCACCCATCATTAAATGAACACTGTGCCCTCATTCCCTTTTTCATTTTCAAAGGAAGATTGGACTGGGCTTTATTAGCATTTTAAATCTACTTTTCTAAAGGGAAAACCCAAAATCAGCTAAACTTTTCTCTGTGATATTAAAAATCACTAGGTGGTCTTAAATTTCCTTTCTTTATACAAGTATGGTTCTTTCATGTCAGGAACTTGAGACGTATTTTGAGTTGGCCTTAACCCAAAGAGAATTTAAGTTGGCTCAAACTTGAATAGACTAAGTGTGGTTTCGCCTTTAAATAATCTCCCTAACACTTTTACCTGACAAGTTTAAAAAGTACTCGTTCAACTTACTATCCAGAAACACAAAACAGGCAGAAGTAGTATGTGGCTTTCTTTGCTTTGTAAATAGAAGAGAGCTAAGACTAGAAAATGTATTAAGACTCACACAAGTAGCCAACATGAAAAAATCAAATCAGAAGATATTCTAGGTTGAATAGATCAGTCAGTTGGAACATAATGAAAAGAAATGTGAAACCAAAGGATCGATTTATATGACAAACCAATTGGTTTCATCCAGTTTGACACAGATAGCTAAATGTCAGCCAAGTGTCATATAAGGAGTAGTCCAAACACCACAGTGCCCAAGTGAGAATGGTGATAGCTTAAAAATCCATCAATATCACTGGAAAATCTTAACGCACACATCTTGTTAGATCACTAACTTCAAGTCTACGTGAATGCTTCTCCTCAAAGTCATCTACCCAAAATTCCAGAACACAGATTCAATTATCTATTTGATTGAACACACATTCTTCATTGAAACCACTTGAAATCTTTACGTAGTATATACTAAGTTGATCTTCTGTATATAAAGATAATTGAAAATGAATCATGATGAAGAATGGGATGGGAGAGGGAGTGGGAGATGGGATGGTTGCAAGTGGAAGGGAGGTTATGGGGGAAAAGCCACTATAATTCAAAAGTTATACTTTGGAAATTTATATTTATTAAATAAAAGTTGAAAAAATACTTACATTGTTATACTTGATGTAGTGATTTCAATGCTCCTCCACTTATTTGTTTATGTCATACACAGGAAGGACTGTCTAATATCAGATAAGAGAGGACAAATATAACAGTTCATTTGCTCTAAAATTACTTAAGTTTAAGTCAAGTGTGGTTTAACATGTTGAGGTGATTTTTATTTTTTGGTGTTCTTGGTATTCCTCTTTGGAATCCTGTATTTATAAATAAAAGCTTTTGTTACCAAGCATTAAATACAATCCTATCCAAGAAAGTCTGCTTCTGGATATTTATTTAAAATTAGATCTCCTAAAATAAAAGTCACCTTTCAAAGATATTTTACATGTTTATAGGATACAAATATTTTGAATTCAGATTGAAGTTGCTGCTTAGAGGATATGGTATCTAAAATTCCATGAGAGACAGTAGATTCACTGAAACCTGGGTTTGAACGCTAGCTTTGTCACTTATTAATGCTGTAATTTTGGGGAATTGATCTTTATCAGTATTCTTATAGGGGAATGAAGATAATAATCTCATTCTTCATTTTCTTTTGAAGATTCCTGCAGCATCAATTGTAAGACTTGATTGTGGGTAGGGCAGTCCAACCCACTGGGAGCACAAAGTCTAGATTCACACAGCTGGGTTCACATCCCAGGCCTGCCATTTGTAAGTTGTAATCTGAGGAGGTTACTTAAATCTTGATTCAGCCTCCCCCTCTGTAAAATGGGGGTAAATATAGTACTTACCTTATAAGATTGTTATGAGGATTATTGAATAATATATATTAAATGACAGACTTTGGATAGTACTCAGCATAGAACTCATACCACACAAATATTAGATTTAATTATTAAATAATTTAAAAGTAAAAGTTACAATGATGATGATGCTGCAGAAGAGGAGACAGAAGGAATGGAATAGGATGACAGAACCAAGTCAGTTGACTCCCCTCCAGGAGAACTGGAATGATCTGAAACAGATGCCCCACTGACAATGTTTAAATCCATTCCTTCAGCTGAAATTACATCCAATCTTCAGAGTCTGAAGAATTCTTTGAAATCAAACATAATTCTGCACATACATTGAAATTTCCTCTTTCAAATAACCAGGAGTTAAATAATTTTGAAACGTCTTGATTCTTTATTCAAACTATATTTTGCACCTTTAATGACCTTTTCTTTGTTCATTTATTTTTTTTTTCCTGAATATGTTTTTCTCCCCAACCACGCTACCAGATTCATTGATGGCAATGGTAATTTTGTTATTTACCTTTATAGTTTACTTTTTCATCCAGGAAGCATTTTTAACATAAATGCTATTAACTTTTATAGATTATTAAATCTAAAAAGTTAATAACATCTATGACAAATGTTTTCGATTCATGTATGAGGCTACTTTTGTCATTAAAGTTCATATGCAACAAATCAATGGCTAATCTAGTGGTTAATTCAAATTTATGTGAGTAATCCTAGAGTGATTTTAGATATATGAATTTAAACTTTGCTTGATTTTTACACAGATAAAATTTAAAGTATCATAACCATTTCAAAAACTATAAAAAGCTGTGTCTTCTTGTAAATAATTCATATAAGGCCCAGGAACTTTTGCTTAGTCATACAAATAAGACACACAAAATAAATAACAAGTGCTTTTTACAAGATGAGAATAAAAATGAGCAAAGTAATTGGATATTCATTTAGCTCAGAAAACTTTTATTCCAGTATATCCTGAATAAGTGCTTCATTCTCTTGTTGTCTCTTTTTACAAATTCACTTCTTCACATTTTATCCATTAACTAGAATTTGGCTTTCTTATTGATCACTTTGATTTCATCATTTTCATTTCTTTGAATAAAAATATACAGTTAAGAAACTTCTCCCAATTACCTTTGTCTCATACCAATTCCATATTTTCAGCACCAATTCTGCATATATTGACTGCAGTGTAGATTTAATTTAGTTGTTACATTCTAATGACCTCTCTGATGTGTTATTTCTCTGCTAATGTTAAATATTCCTATTGCTTGTTAGAATTCAAATACTAAAATATATTTAGTTCTTTGAGAACTGCCTACCTAATTTAACCACATAACTACATATCAATTTATTTAAAAAGTCATAAATTCAATCCATACGATCAATTTAATTGATTTAATTAATTGTGTGTTCATTATAGACTGTGGTTAATCATATTATAATTAATATTAAAATAATAATAATATTTTCTATTTTAAAGATAAAAGGTATTTCAGCCACATAACTTCCTTACTGATTGGTGTCAGAACAGAGCAAAGATCTAAGCCACTTGGTTTCTGGACAAATGCTCATCTCCACACTGAAATGCCACTAGTAGAGTTCTCCATCATCATCATCCCAGTATGTTTTGGGAACCCCTTTTGAGAATATAAGCAGAAAAGTAGACTTTGTTTGGCACATCTGATAGAGGTTTTCTTGCCCACTTACAGGATTCAAATAAAAAGAGTTATGAAATGAAAATCTTATGTGTCTGATTGCTAATAAATAATTTGACATTAATATTTGAAATGTGTAATTCATAACATAGTGTGTTTTGAAAGGTTCATAGGACCATTGCTGAACGTAGAGGTGCATGCATTATTATTAAAAATGGATTTTAGTTTACCTGGTTTTTGTAGATTTCATCACATATGTATGGATGCAATTGGTTTCTGTAATTTTTAAAATAGTACATGTTCTTCTCATTAGAACGTAAGTTCCCTGAAGACAGGGACTAGATTTGTCACTTTTGTTGCTGTTACCAGAAGCTGGCACTGTAGTGCATGGCATTCAGTATAAAATTGTTTAATGAATTAATCAGTAAACAGATTCAAAAGATTCAACAAGTTCACATTCAAGATTCAATCCCAATGGGTCAGCGTTGTGGCACAGCTGCTTAAAATGATGCCTGTGGCACCGGCATGCCTTATCTGACTACCAGTTGGAGTTCCAGCTGCTCTACTTTCTGATTCAGTTCCTTGCTAACGCACCTGGGACATCTGGGAGATCCAGATGAAGTTTCAAGCCCCTGGGTTCCATTTGCTCTACCCCAGACATTGCGGTTACCTGGGGAGTGAACCAGAGGATGGAAAATCTCTCTCTCTCTCTCTCTCTCTCTTCTGTCATTCTACCTTTCAAATCATTTGAGATATTACAAAAGGGTAATACTGTCAAACTAAAACAAATCTTAAAAAATTTACATATCTGGGTCTGTTTTCATATTTTCTAGGTCAACTCATGAATTCTGTATGTTAACCCTTTTGCCCATTTCATCTCAATTTGTTTTGGAGGTCATGAATTTATTTTGTCTTAAAAAAAAAAAAAAAACTACTCAGTACATTGTGTTAACTCACATGCTTTAATTCTCTGTGTGTGTGTGTTTCATACCTTTGGCACCTCTTCAAGTTACTGCTACATATCACAAAAAATCCTAATTTGTGGTTACAGAATAAAAGTGAACTCAGAGTCTATGCAGAACAGTGAAAAGGTGAGGTTGTTGGAATCTGATGACCACAGGAGCTTCAAATGTAGCAGGAAATTTTAGACAAAGGCACAAGAGGCAACTATTAGATTTTTACTCGTCTATTTCCTTGAGAGGTTTTTGGAAAACACTATCAAAGTTCCACCTTATTGAAAAAGTATTTGTAGGGCCAGCACTATGGCAATAGTGGGTAAAGCCACCACCTGTAGTGCCAGCATCCCAGTTGTGCACCAGTTCAAGTCTTAGCTCCTCCTCTTCCGATCCACCTCTCTGCTATGGCATGGGAAAACAGTGGGAGATGGCCCAAGTGCTTGGGCCCCTGCACCTGTGTGGAAGACCTGGAAGAAGCTCCTGGCTCCTGGCTTCGGATGGGCACAGATCTGGCCTTCGCAGCCAACTGGGTTGTGAACCAGCGGATAGAAGACTTCTCTCTCTGCCTTTCCTTCTCTCTCTGTGTAACTCTGACTTTCAAATAAATAAATATTTTTTTTAAAAAAGAAAAATTATTTGTAAGTATTATTACCAAAAAGCTAATGGTTATGTACTTTAAAAACAAAATGATCATAATTCCCTACAATTGAAAACTGGAAAGGGCATTGTAGGGGAATAAAGTGTACTTAATGGAATGATTACCCTCCACCCCACAAAATGGTACTTGAAGCATCAGCGGAAGTACACACAAAGGGGCTGAGAGGCATTTGGGATATTACAAATGGGCAATACTGTCAAATTAAGTGTAATGTTCTGGAAGACCCTTTCTCTGTCTATTAGCTCCAATTCTGTAGCCCTTCAGAAGCAAAATGGAACCACAAGAGAAAGTTCAATTAGATATGGTGAGCCTCTGGCATATTCAAGCCCTGGTTATCCACTGGAATGGATTTATAATGCAAAGGTAATCTGGTGAAGGCAATCAAGGCTTTCTCATCACCCTGCATTTTTCCTCCATCAAAGGAAAGGAAAGAAAATAATGTCTGAACCTCTAACACAGAGGAAATGCTATTTTCCCCTTGACGCCCTGCACTGTCAGTAATCAACAAAGGATCAACTGGAAAAGCAGGTGTTTCCTGGAGAACAGGATAGATCAAGGAAGGCATTTTCAGATTTGAGCAGGAGGAAAAATTTACCAAAAGACTGTTTCTCTCTCTCTCCCTCTCCCCCTCCACCCTGTCTTCTCCCCACCTCCTTGCAAAATCCTGAATGATCCCTATTCCTTCAACTGTTCCTGTCCAGATTTCAATGGAAGTATGGTAACCATTATTCATTCTTGTTTCCTACAGCCCTTTAGAGACAGGCAACTCTGTGTAGGATCTAACTCCTGTAAAGAAGACACTTCACAAAGCATCAGACAGATATCTGGGAATGTGAAGGATGAGCCACCTTAGCAGGGTTTGTTGATGAATATGTTTCATCTCAACCCAGGCTAAAATTAATCAAGGCTAACAGCAAACCAGTGGCCAGAACACGACTTGAGATCAGGGTCACTGCTGAGGAACATCATGAGTATGTTTTCATAAAATCACACTGAATTAAGAGATCATGATTCTGCTGTGCATTTTAAGTGGGAGCTGGGATTTTTGTTTGTTTGCTTGCTTTTGCTCTCTGCACCTCTTTTTGGGGATAAAACAGGAACAACCATCACCTTCTGTTAAGGTGCTTCTCACCATCTGATGCTTACATGTACCACTGAGAGCATCAGTGTCTTCCAGGCACTTGGGGCCAAGCAGGGTCATTAAGGAAGGCACTGCAATAGTGGGCACTGGGGCCGGACACTGGTAAAGCTGCGTCTGCAGTGCTGGCACCCCATATGGGCGCCAGTTCTAGTCCCGGCTGCTCCACTTCCAATCCAGATCTCTGCTATGGCCTGGGAAAGCAGTAGAAGATGGCCCAAGTCCTTAGGTCCCTGCATGCATGTGGGAGGCCTGGAAGAGGCTCCAGGCTCCTGACTTCGGATTGGCAAATCTCTGGCCGGTCCGGCCAACTGGGGAGTGAACAGAGGATGGAAGACCTCTCTCTCTCTCTCTTTCTCTACCTCTCCTTCTCTCTGTGTGTAACTCTGACTTTCAAATAAATAAATAAATCTTTGAAAAAAAATAGTGGACATTATGCTGGTGATGACTTTCATCTTTCTTCCCAATAAATTCTTCCCTCCAAGGATTATTTCTTCCAGGCAGGGCACAGAAAAACCATGCAGTAGAATATCTCTTTGAAAATGTTTTCATTAACCAATCAAACAGGCTTAAAGAGTAGCAAAAAAAGTGTGATGATTTTCAAACCAATCTGGGACTCATTCTTTCAGACATTTTTGGCTGTTAAAATAGGAATTTTGGCAATAATTGCTGAGTTCTTTTCTCTAAGTGTTAAAAGATATTAAAAATTGTAAACCTTTATTAACTTTCTGATGTAAATCAGTAGTTCCAACATCAAAAATTCTTCTTATTTTGAACTTTGAAAAGTGGCCAAATATGTTTTCTATAACAGCTTCAACACTTTCTAAAGCATAGATTTAAAATTACAGAACCTTTGCTATCCAAGATAAATGAAGCTGTTTGAGTGCAACTAAACTAACAGTAGTATATTCGCATAATGGTAAGAAGATAAATCCAAATTTGTATGAATTGTGTTATTCCAGTATTTGCTAGGACGTGGGTTAATGGTTACCTTTGCACTATTTCACAGGAAAAGGGCTTACTAAGCAAATCTCTGTGGTATGGGCAAACCCATCAAGAGATTGCTTACCCAAGAAATTCCACAATATAGAAGTACATACTTGCAATATAAGAGCAGGCTGCTTTGATATATATTTCCCAAGTCATTTGTCTTTTCAATATAGAACTTCCCTGAGACAACAGTTGGTTACCATACTCCCAGCAATTGTGAGAATCTGAATAACTTAATTTCTTGGGGAAAAAAAAAAAGGATCAGATGATATTTTTCCTTGATAATTAGAGCCAAGACATCTAGTTTAAATCCCTGGGCAAATACATTTGCTAGCACTCACTTTCATCATCTGAAAATAAAATAATTAGGCTTTTGTTACTGCATCACTATGAGGCTCAATGTGATGAAAAACAAAGCATCTGCCAGACTGTCTAGAACCTGGTAGATTCTAAATAATGCTACTTGAATTTGAGTGTAAACCTTTAACTAGATAAGACTTTCTTTCTTCCCCTGTATTACAATAACTCAAGGAATTTTATTCTAGAAAACAGACTTTTCTTTTAATAACATTCTTTAAGGGTTCTGTAGCAATATTTCCTTATTTGAGATATTGCTCTTTAATATAAAAATTATATAGCTCTCTATTAGAACATTATTGTTAAAGTAGAGCTTTCGTTATGAACACTACTTCATTTGTGACCGTGTGGACTTAAGGGTGCAGACTCCATTATCTATATATTGCAGTCCAGAAAAATCAAGTTTAAGCACATGCTGGCTTCGAGATTCCCAGGAAGGAAGAACAGCAATGAAAAGTTGGAAGAGAATTCATTCCAGATGTCCACAAATTCCAAATACTACCCACCACAGCACTTCTAGAAATATCCTTTAGTTAGAAGTGATAGGCTTTTTTAATATGAAATATTAAATGTAGAATTCTCACCAGCTTAGTTTAACTGGTAAGAATATCCCTTTCGTGAAAGTATGCTTCCAGTGTCTTGGTTAATATAAAGATGGTACTTTGGTTAGGGATAAGGAATTTTTATTTCTATAATCAACATCTGTAGATTATAAATTTCCCAACCACAGAACATTAGGATTAAAAATCGAAAAACTGAGCACAATATTCTCATTTATCAGAAGGAGGAAACAGAGACCTAAAAAAATTGACCGCCTTGTCAGACATCTTAATGGCAGTTTGAATTTGGAATTTAAACCTATTGATTAGTCTCTGAGTATCATTTTACCAGCACCATTCTTCTTCCAGCTTGTAGTTATTTTAACATTTAGCTCTATTCTCTATTCTCTACTAAACTGCATGAAAAGTGGAGCTCCATCCTGTTGTCAAAATGACACCCTTAATAATCAGCTGGGATCTCAGTGTTAGAGGTGATCACCGAGGCAAATGGGACCACAAAGGAAAAGCAAAGAAGTAGGAAGGAAATGCGTAGATCCAGCCTGGAAAAAGTCAATTTTGCATGGAAATCTTATGAAGTTTTAAGACAAAAATTCACATCTACTAGAGAAATCCACTCTTTATAATTATCCTGGAATGAGGAAAGGGGGAAGGAGGGTGGAGGAGTGCTTGGTAGCAAACATAAAACAACCCCCTTTCATACCAACAAATAAGACAGCTCAGGCCTCTTTTCATGGCTGCCTATTTGGGACTATTTCAGCTGCTTACTCCAAATCTTGGGATACTTAGCCAATGTCCACTTCACAAATTGAGAGTCAGAAATAAAATTTCTGGAGAAAAAAAAAGATTTAAAAGAACCTGTAGGGGATGCAGCTGGTTGACCAGCACATACCTCAAACCCATAATCTCCTTCAATTTGTTTGTCAGAGTGTTGGAAAAACTTCAATATTTATAGAAGGCTTCTAAGTCTTCTTGGCTTTAGCAATGAAGTAACAAAGAAGAGATGACTGCTGCTGTTTTGATTTTAAAATACAGCTAGGATACAGCTCAAGAGCCTACTGTGGAAAGGCTTAATATATAACTCAAGGCTCTTAATATGAATGGCTCCAGCATTGATATTTGGTGTCTGTCAAATGTCACAGTACACCTCTTTACAGTAAATGTCTCCTCGTATGTGGTTCCATATCAAGTCAACATGCCTCATCTTCAGTGGTTTCCACAACCCTTCACAAACCCCTACACGTTATTTCCTCCCCAAACTAAACGTCCCTGCAAAGTTTCACAGGAACAAATCCTGCTAATCACTTTCTATTCATGTAATCTGCCAGAATTGCTATCTAAGGGGCTTGCTGGTGTCCTGCTCCTTAAACTATTGCAATTGGACCTACTAGGTTTTCCAATAACCCTTTTCTGAAACTGATTAGTGATTTTCACAGTATTAATCCTTGATAAGCAAAAAGATTCACAGAATGAAGAGTTAGGGCTCTAAAAATTGTGATCTAACATTTTTTGCAAACTAATAATTGAGCCAAAATTCTCACCAGTTATGGACTTTCTACAAGGCATGAATGGGTGTACCTCTTTCTTATGCTGGCTTGAGTGCAAGTCCAAGTTAGTAGGTGACCATTGCCACAAGCAAGCATAGAAGCCTCAGTCCACTGTGGCCAAAAGGACGAAAATGTAGGCTCAGTGTTGCATGCACTTTCCCTTTTTACTCACAGGAAGTAAAATAGCCTAAATAATATCAAGATGAAATGAAGAAGCAGGATCCTTCTGAAATTAAAAAAAAAAAAACTATCTGAACAGATGAAACACCAAGCAATTTACTGTGGACAGAATAAAACTTTATCCCACTTTGGTAAAAGAAAGCAATTGGTTGAACATCTAATGTGTTGAAAATTCTTCTGTCACTGTTCAAATTCTCCCAAATAGATCTTTAAAGATGTCTGTCTTCTGAAATGAAACATAAGGGGTTGGAACGTGAGTCCAATTCTAGACAGTTTTTCTTCTTTCCATGTCATAACACCAACATTTTCTGCCCGCATTCAAGTACAAAGATGGGCGTGTATTACAAGACTGCCCAAAACTCTCTAAATCAACAGAAAGGGAATGAATACATCTCAATCAAGATCTGGTGCTGACCAGTTACCCCAAACACTGAGCTTTCCTTGGATCTATTCCTGCATAACACAACCAGGCTTAATATGTACTTTGTACAAAATAGCAACCCTTGCCCAAAAAACTGGATCTGTAACCAAGAAGTAAAACCTCTTCCTTCCAGAGAATAAACCAGTCAACTTAGTTCATGCCATGAATATCTTTCTTTTACAAAGAAAAATATGAACTCACTGGTAATGAATTATAGCATTAACTTCCTTATTTCTATTCCAATTTCAATAGAACTGCAATTACCATGGGAATTATCTAGAATGAGAGAGAGAAGGGGTAGCTAAAAATCATCTATAAATGTATTATTAGGCAGATGAAAAGAGTACATAGGAAAAAATAAAATGAAAGGAGACACAGGGGACTACGAAATACAGAGTAAAATATATAGAAAAACAAAACACAGTAAGATACAGGATACCAGCTCCAGCCTCCAGGATCCTGAAACACTCATTCTATTACAATCTCCCACACCTGCAACCCTTCTCTTAACAAACAGAAAAACTTGCTCTCAGCCACAGTCAAGTTCTTTAGGAAAACTTAAATAAAAGTCTAAGAAGTCTTCTTTTATAGTTCACTCTTTCATCCTTGGAAAGATACCAATCGTCTGGCCCCAAGAGAGAAGAAATAGATCCTTCTCTGTATTTTTGGAGCCGAGTAGAGCACCTGGCACACACCTAGTAGGCTCCCAATACATGCTTGGGAAATGAGCTACGCTAAGAGTAAATGTGAGCCCTTCATCCACAGAGTTTAAAGCCCCCAACTCTCCATCAAGCCCTGGGGAAACACAATGGCAAGCAATGTCATGGCATCAGTACCCACGGTATTAGTGCTAGTTATTGCAACATCGAAATAGTAGGGCTCAACTTCCTGGTGCCAATGACAATATCTGTGCTTACCAAATACGTTGTAATAATAAATATAACATTACAGGTCTCACATATTTCTTTGTGTCTGCAACTCCAAACATGCTCCCAGCCTCCACTCTCCAGGAGCCCAGTTAGCAGAGCCTCTGTTATGAGAATCTATAGGACGCTAAGGGTGTACATTTGTGAGTGGGACAAGAAGCTGGATGAGAACAAGGACCTTCATACTTTGAGTGTGAGTGAGGGTACCACGGTGAGAGAATTGTTCTCTGCGAAAGGATAATGTTTACCTTAAACTACCCTCTTTTTTGCTTCCAGGAGATGTAACACACAGATTGCCTGTAACCATGGCGATCAGTTCAGCTGTGAGCACCCTCATGTATTCAAAGCACAGAGGCTGTATAGGAGAGAAAATACTATTACAAATAGGAACAATAAGGTTTAGTTTCAGATGCCAAAACATGATTGGTTCAGTGTTTGATTCCCAGCCATACGAAGCACATTACACTTTCTGGGTTTCATCTGTTCTTTCCTGATCCTCAAGGGTAATATTAATTTCAATTTCTTCCAGAAATAATGATCAGCTTTCTTCCAGGACTATCTTGAGAGTGAAAGAAAATTTGGAAAAATGTATTCTCAGCAATGCACTGTGTGCTAGAGAGTTGAGATAACCATGCCAAGAACCATAAAGCAATGTCAACATATACTTTAAAAAAATCTAATGCAATTTTTTCAGGGCAGTATCCAATTCTCTTGGATGAGTAATAAAGGATGTGTTCCATATTTGCTGGTTCTTCATCCTAATTTCAGTCTCTTCACAACCCTGGAAGAAAAAAATAACATTTGGAGAATATTTTGCCCTGTCCTAGAAATAGAGTGACAGAAAGTGTATTCTTGATTTCCAAGGCAATTACTTGTGACTCATCAATTAAATAGACTTTGGTGATTCCAAATTTTTTTTAGCTGTATTGTGGGATTTCCACTGATAAAACCCAGTGAATGTATTTTACAGGTGCACAACTATCAAACCTTGGAAAAAAGAGAAAATGACAACTGGGTTTTGCTGTCTACAAAGCAAGCACTGTCATTTTCTCAGCACTCATTTAGTTTAGAAATCTACTAAGTGCAAACAATATCAGGCTTATAAAACGAGGCAGACAGGATCTAACTATGTATAAAGCAATGGGGAATATATGAGGCAAAATTCCTTATGCCAAAACACTTCAGCATGGAAGAAGAAAGGTCAGTTTGGACCAGGAAGGAAACAGTTTATTGAAACAAAGTTTGTGTCAGGGCAGGTGCTGCTGTGGCATAGTGGGTGAGGCTGCCGCCTGCAATGCCAACATTCCATATGTGTGCTAGTTTGAGTCCCAAATGTCCCACCTTCAATCCAGCTCTCTGCTATGGCCAGGAAAAACAGTAGGTGGCCCAAGTCCTTGGGCCCCTGTACCCATATGGGAGACCTGAAGGAAGCTCCGGGCTCGTGGCTTCGGATCAGCCCAGCTCCAAGTGTTGTAGCCATTTGGGGAGTGAACCAGCAGATGGAAGACTTCTCTCTCTTTTTCTCTCTGCTTCTACCTCTGTAACTCTGTCTTTCAAATAAATAAACTCTTTTTAAAAAGAAACAAAGGTTGTGGAAATAATCTACTTAATCAGAAAAGTATAAAGGTTATTGCTATTAGCTTAAGGATAATAGAATTGATTTGATTCAAATTGTCTAAAGTTGTATGCAGAATTTGAAGACTCATAAAGCTGTAAATTGAAGACTACTTCATTGCTCTAAAACTCTACCTTTGTCATACTTTTAGCTCAGAAAGGATTTCAAACAAATTATCAAATATAGTGCATGTGGCTTTTTAAAAAATGTCATTTGGGAGCCAGCATCGAGGTGTAGCAGGTATAGCTTTAGCTTGCAATGCCGGCATCCAATATGGGAACTGGCTCATTTCCTAGCTGCTCCACTTTCGATCCAGCTGCCTGCTAATGGCCTGGGAAAAGCAAAAGAAAATGCCCTTTTTGGGCCTCTGCACTCACTTGGGAGACCTGGAAGAAGCTCCTTGCTCCTTGATTCTGGCTTAAGCTTGGTCTCAGCACTGGCTGTTGCGACCATCTGGGGAGTGAACCAGCGAATGGAAGATTCTCCCTCTCTCTATCTCTCTCTCTGTAACTCTTTCAACTAAAATGAATAAATTTTTAAAACAAATTTTTTAACTTTTATTTAATGAATATAAATTTCCAAAGTACAGCTTATGGATTACAATGGCTTCCCCCCAATAATGTCCCTCCCACCCGCAACCCTCCCCTTTCCCACTCCCTCTCCCCTTCCATTCACATCAAGATTCATTTTCGATTCTCTTTATATACAGAAGATCAGTTTAGCATACATTAAGTAAAGATTTCAACAGTTTGCTCCCACACAGAAACATAAAGTGAAAACTACTGTTTGAGTACTAGTTATAGCATTAAATCTCAATGTAAAGCACACTAAGGACAGAGATCCTACATGAGGAGTAAGTGCACAGTGACTCCTGTTGTTGACTTAACAAATTGACACTCTTGTTTATGGCCTCAGTAATCACCCTAGGCTCTTGTCATGAGCTGCCAAGGCTATGGAAGCCCTCTGAGTTCACTGACTCTGATCATATTTAGACAAGGCCATGGTCAAAGTGGAAGTTCTCTCCTCCCTTCAGAGAAAGGTACCTCCTTCTTGGATGACCTGTTCTTTCCACTGGAATCTCACTCACGGAGATCTTTCATTTAGGTTTTTTTTTTTTTCCCCAGAGTGTCTTGGCTTTCCATGCCTGAAATACTCTCATGGGCTTTTCAGCCGGATCCGCATGCCTTAAGGGCTGATTCTGAGGCCAGAGTGCTGTTTAGGACATCTGCCATTCTATGGGTCTGCTGTGTATCTCATTTCCCATGTTGGATCGTTCTCTCCCTTTTTGATTCTATCAGCTAGTATTTGCAGACACTAGTCTTGTTTATGTGATCTCTTTGGTTCTTAGTCCTATCATTATGATCAATTGTGAACAGAAATTGATCACTGGGACTAGTGAGATAGCATTGGTACATGCCACCTTGATGGGATTGAATTGGAATCCCCTGGTATGTTTTTAACTCTACTGTTTGAGGTAAGTCAGCTTGAGCATGTCCCGAATTGCACATCTCTTCCCTCTCTTATTCCCACTCTTATATTTAACAGTGATCACTTTTCAGTTAAGTTTCAGCACTTAAGAATAATTGTGTTTTGATTACAGTATTCAACCAAAAGTATTAAGTATAACAAACAAAAAAAAATACTAAGAGGGATAACACATTAAGTTGTTCATCAACAGTCAGGGCAAGGGCTGATCAAGTCACCGTTTCTCATAGTGTTCATTTCACTTTAACAGGTTTCCTTTTTGGTGCTCAGTTAGTTGTCACCTGTCAGGGAGAACATATGGTATTTGTCCCTTTGGGATTGGCTTATTTCACTCAGCATAATGTTTTCCAAATTCCTAACAGGGATCACTTTTTTTTTTTGTTCTAGTACCATTGGTTGAACTCTGTAATTAAAACAATTTTTTAAAGATTTATTTATTTTAGTTGAAAGGCAGAGTTACAGAGGCAGAGAGAGAGAGAGAGAGCTCTTCTGTCTTCTGGTTCACTCCCCAAATGGCCACAAAGGCCAGAGCTGGGCTGATCTGAAGCCAAGAGCCTGGAGCTTCTTTCGGGTCTCTCACGTAGGTGCAGGGGCTCAGCAACTTGAGCCATCTTCTACTGCATTCCTAGGCCATAGCAGAGAGCTGGGTTGGAAGTGTCCTTCTGGCTTTGTGCCTTCCATGAAGACATCTTTTCTTAAACTCCTTGTCCAAGCTGCAAGTGACTACTAGCAGACCAATTCCCCTGCCTTGTAAGATCTTAGAAGACAACAGATTCAAGATCACTTTGCCACCACAGCATCTGAAATGCTGTCTGAGACTTGCTAGTACTCCTAACCCTAAGAACGATCTCTATTTTTAAATAATTGTGTATACAGAGGATGGAAGACCTCTTTCTCTCTCTCTCTGCCTCTGCTTCTATGACTCTGCATTTCAAATGAATAAGCAAACCTTTAAAAAATAAATAAATACTGGTATATAGAAGATTGGTTATTATCCCCTTGATACAGAAACCCATTATTGAAAAATCTTGCTAATACTGGAAATCAACTACCCATCAAGAAAATGAAATGACAGGGCTGGTGGTATGGTGCAGTGGGTTAAGCTGCCGTCTGCAGCATCAGCATCCCATTTGGACAACAGTTTGAATCCCATGTTCTCCATTTCTTGTCCAGCTCCCTGCTAATGGCCTGGGGAAGCAGCAGAAGATGGTCCAGGTCCTTAGGTCTCTGCACCCACATGGGAGACCAGGAAGAAGCTCCTGGCTTCTTCTTCAGGCTGGCCCAGCCCCAGCCATTGTGGCCATTTGGGGAGTGCACCAGAAGATGGAAGACTTTCTATCTCTCCTTCTCACTATCTCTAACTCTACATCTCAAAGAAATAAATATTTTTTAAGAAAGTTAACCTTAAAAAGAATGACGTGACAACACTCATATCAATTCCTTTAATTTTCAGTAAACCCAAAACGAACCAGAATGACAGTTATCACTGCCCATGATCTCCTGTCCAAGAAGACTTGCATTTCTCCTCCTTAGATATTTCCTTGGTGGGATTATTTTAGCATCAAAATTTGTATATACTAGTCTCTGCTGAATAGTTATCCTTGTAGCCTGAATATTTCTAAGCCTCATTCCTATGTGAAATCTTAATGACATTACTACCCAAACCACAGTGTCTCTTTGCCTCATCTCTGTGACTATAGCCCTTCAGCACTTGCTTAATCTATTGTCCAGCTATTCAGGGCACCCCTTGGTGATGTGTCCTGTGTGCTCAGGAATATGTCTTCATTTCCCCCTCCTTCATCCAAGAACCTTGACACACCCTTTCCCCAAAGTCCTGTATGGAAATAACAAGGTCTGTGCCATGGTCATGCATTGTAGCCATAGCCACAGTACTGGGAGTGCTAGAACCATGGGCAAGTGTACCCCACTCAGTTTTGTACCATGGGGACTGAAGCAGGATTGTGCTGTCAGTCTCCCCTAAAAACTATGCTGGCAGGAGCCAGTGTTGTGGTTCAGTGGGTTAAGCCACTGCTTGTGATGCCAGCATCCCATATCAGAATTCCAGTTTGAGTCCTGGCTGCTCTGCTTCCCATCCAGTTTCCTATTAATGTAATTGGGAAAGCAATGGATGATGACCCAAGCCCTTGGGCCCCTTCCACCCTTGTGAGAGACTAGGATGAAATTCCTGGTACCTGGCTTTGCCCTGGCTAAACTCTGGGTGTTGTGACCATTTGAAGAATAGACCAGATCTCTCTCTATTTCTCTCTCTCTCTCTTCTCTTTCTTTCTTCTCTCCTTCGCTGTCACTGTGCCTTTCAAAGAAAATAAAATAAATAGTTTAAAAATGCCGTACTGGCAGCTGTTAGCTCTTCTTTTCCAAAGTGGCCCCAGGTCTGTGTGTCAGACCAAGAGGATAGACCCTATGCCAGCTCCATCTGCAATCTTTGTATACATAAATCTAATTCTTCAATCTTAATGTCAAAAAGCCAACATCAAACTATATTACTATAGAGGGATCCCCAGCCTACAGGTCTTGTAACATCAGACATGGAAGGCCAGTTTGGGCATAGGTCTATATATAGATTATTGATATAGATTATCAATATAGATACAGATATAGGTAGATATAGACCGTCAAGCCTGTCTCACCAACAGGGCTATATATATTTAAAGATTTATTTATTTTTAGAAAGGCAGAGAGAGTGAGAGGTAAAGAGGTCTCCCAACTGCTGGTTCACTCCCCAGATGGCCACAATGGCCAGAGTTACACCAATCTGAAGCCAGGAGCCAGGAGCTTCTCCTGGGTCTCCCACATGGGTGCATGGGCCCAAGGACTTGGGCCACTGTCCACTGCCTTCCTGGGTGCATCAGCAGGGAACTGGATCAGAAGTGTTGCAGTTGGGACATGAACTGGCACTGACATGGGATGCAGGTGCTGCAGGCTGTGGCTTAACCCACTGTGCCACAGCACCAGCACCCAAGAGATACTCATTTTAACAAATATTTATAGATGATCTGTTTCTTGTCAGGCACTAAGTACATAAAGGGGTGATAGCACCGGGTCAGCCCAGAAGGAGCATGAAATTTGCACTCAGATATAGTTAAAGCTCTGGCCCTGCCCATTACTATCTCTATGGCTTTGAGAATCTTCAAGACAAAGTTCTCAAGAGGCAGTAGTGTGGCCATGTCCATGGAGTTCCTTGCCATCAGCACAGTGTCGCACAGATGTTTGCTACATATTCATTCATGAGTAAATGTGTATGGAGAGGCTAGTGTGTGCCAGATGTCATTCTAAATACTACAGTTATAGTAGTAGACAAGAAAGAATGTCTCTGATTTCATTAAATGTTTATTATGATGGCATCAACCAAGTTAATGGATTTGATTCATAGTCTGTGTCACTCCAAAAGATCTTATCCACAATACATATATATAATCTTTAACTTCCAAAATACTTTCAATCGAATTGCTGTCCCTAACCATTTTGTTTAAAAAAGAGATGAAGCCATACCTTAAGAATCTATTTGGTGGCTGGTGCCGCGGCTCAATAGGCTAATCCTCCACCTAGCGGCGCTGGCACATCGGGTTCTAGTCCCAGTTGGGGCGCTGGATTCTGTCCCGGTCGCTCCTCTTCCTGTCCAGCTCTCTGCTGTGGCCCAGGAGTGCAGTAGAGGATGGCCCAAGTCCTTGGGTCCTGCACCCCATGGGAGACCAGGAGAAACACCTGGCTCCTGGCTTCAGATCAGCGTGGTGCGTCGTCTGCAGTGGCCACTTGGGGGTGAACCAACGGAAAAGGAAGACCTTTCTCTCTGTCTTTCTCTCTCACTGTCTACTCTGCCTGTCAAAAAAAAAAAAAAAATCTATTTGGCGGCATGTGCTGTAGTGTAGCAGGTAGAACCGCTTCCTGCAGTGCCAGCATCCCATATGGGTGCCGGTTCAAGTCTCAGCTACTCCACTTCTGATTCAGCTCTCTGCTCTAGCCTGGGAAAGCAGTAGAAAGTGGCCCAAGTCCTTGGACTCGTGCACCTGTGTGGGAGACCTGGAAGAAGCTCCTGGCTCCTGGCTTCAGATTGCCCAGCTTCGGTTGCTGAGGCAATTTGAGGAGTGAACCAGCAGATGGAAAATTTCTCTCTCTCTGCCTCTGCCTCTCTGTAACTCTGCCTTTCAAATAAACAAATAAATATATTTTTTAAATAATCTATTTGCTGACCTCATCCCTCATTCTGGTCTCTACTCTTCCTCAATTGGCTTTTGTCTCTGGATATCAATCGTGGCTTCTCCTCTCATGTGTTTGTGGAGACAAATATGAGCTCACAGTTTCTGTTCTGTGTGAATGTATGAAAGAGGGACACAATGCATGTCAATGAAAACAATGGTCAAAATCCATATTCCGGGGCCGGCGCCATGGCTCACTTGGTTTATCCTCCACCTGCAGTGCCAGCATCCCATATGGGCGCTGGGTTCTAGTCCTGGTTGCTCCTCTTCCAGTCCAGCTCTCTGCTGTGGCCCAGGAAGGCAGTGGAGGATAGCCCAGGTGCTTGGGCCCTGCACCCACATGGGAGACCAGGAGGAAGCACCTGGCTCCTGGCTTCGGATCGGCGCAGCACCGGATGTGGCTACGAACCAATGGAAGGAAGACCTTTCTCTGTTTCTCTCTCTGTCTATAACTATACCTGTCAAATTAAAAAAAAAATCCATATTCCTTCAAATAAACTTGGCCTACACTTAAGTTATTCAAGTATTTGCATTCAGAATCTTCTATATCTAAGATTCTTTGATTTTATTCTACTCCAATTGCTCATGGCAATACGGGACTACTTTTATTTTAAGAAGAGTTTTAGATTTGCAGAAAAGTTGTCAAGGTAACACAGAATCTACACACATCTGCAGCCAGTAGCTGTGGTTATCAGTTACATTCTACTGCAGTAAAGAACCAATACTGGTATACTTTTACTAGCTGAAGTCCAGACATCATTCAGATTTCCTCAGCATTTCTCTAGCACCATTTTTTTTTTCTGCTTCAGGATCCCATGCAGGTAACATCACATTTAGTCAACATGTCTCCTTAGATTTCTCTTCTTGGCTGTTGACAATGTTGCACATTTTCTTGATGTTGGTGACCATAGTAATTTTAAGGAGTGCTGATCAGAATTCAATAGAATATCTGTTGATGTGAGATTTTCCTCCTGAATTGATTGAGGTTTGGGCTATTAAGAGGAAGAACACAAAGGGAAAGTGTTAGCCTCATCACATCTTATCCAGGGATCATTTGAGGAGTCTTCAAAAAATTCAAGGAAAATGTGTTATGAAAAAAAAAAAAAACTGCAATGACTTAAAAAAAGTTTTGCACAAAAATAAACTTATTCTTTAATTTCATTGTCTCCATGAGTTTTTCTAAGTGCTCTCATACTACTAACATAACTTATTACTATTGATTTTTACCATGAAACCCTGACCAAAGTAGTGTGAACCTCGTTCTTATAAAATGAAATTTTTTATACTTTATATTATTGTGTTCTCAAACATACTCCAAAGACATGCATCAAGAAATCTCAAAATAATATCTTATTTTCTCCAGAAATTCACTCATTCTTTAGTTGTCTCTTGGAAAATATATCAAGTCTATATTATTGAATGCCAGGCACTGAGAGTACAAATATGAATAAAACACATCCCTCCTTTCAAGAGCTGAAGGTCCAGTCTGAAAGCCTTGTGAAAACATAGATGAGAAGCCAGTGAGTTAGGGACACTGTTTCAGGAATACAAATAACCTACAGAAGACATAGTGATGGTTTCCAGGCGCACTGAGGTGAGGGAGGTGCTTGTTCCTGGAGAAAGGGTCTCCCGTGTGAGTCTTGAAGAACAGATGTGATTTCACCACATTAGGAAGGAAGCACAGCCCAGGAAAAGCTCATAGTGTGTTCCAAGCAGGCTCTGTTCAGGGAAGTGTAAGAAACTTGGTTTTAGAGGAGTAACAGAGAAGGAGGGTGGAGTGGTAGGCAGAGACCTTGGAGAGTCCAGCTTGTATTGTGAGCAACACCATCACTGCTCTTGCAAGCTGCTACAGTCAAAGTGCTACAATACCTGTGGGTTTGTATTTGTGTGTATGAGAGAGATATATAAATAACTAGAATGCAAGGGTAGGCTTCTGGCAGACTCTAATCTGATGCAGGGATGATAATCACTTCAGTGATACACACTTCTGGAGGTACGAAAGACCTTGGACCACCACATGTGTCTACATGGTTACACAGACAGGACCTATGCCTCAGGTGTCTCTATTTATATCTCTCACACACACGGATACAAACACACAGGTATTCTCCATATACTCACTTGCTAAGAGCTGCCAACCAAGTTGGAAAAACTTCAGGATTGACCAATTTGTCTTTTTTTTCTCTGCACCTTGGCAATGGTTGCAATGATCCTGGCCAAGACTCAAGAGTGCAACAGCCCAATTTACTGTTATCAGCAGGCATTCCTGTGGGTTTGCTGTTCCCACTCATCAGTGATCTTGGAACTTGGTCAGTACCTGCCAGATAAACATTCTGTTAGATTCCCTCAGCAAGCTCAGTGAGACTTGCCTGGTTTTGAGGGAAGCTCCTCTTCCTTATAAATGACCCTGTTCCATGCTGGTATGTGTGCCTTAGCTTAAGAATCTGCTTCACGTATCTCATACCCAGAGACATGATCCCCTAATCTTAGGGAATGACAACTTCCCATGGATGGCAGCTTGAGCTTTCCCTAGGATATCACTGGCCCTCAGTAAGACATGGTAGATGAAGTCTGTGAATTTTGTTAGAGAATTAAGTCTCCATGATATTCTCCATGTTTTCCCTGCCCCCAACCTAACTCTTCGTCTTCAGGTTCTCAAACTTCAGTGCATACTATAAAATCCGTGACATGCAGGAATAAAATATGCAGTAGTGCTTCCATAGCACTCCTTCATCAGAATAAACCAAAAGGTTTGCAGGCTGTCATGAAGCCCTTTAGTATCAAACCATTGGTGGCCAGCGCCGCAGCTCAATAGGCTAATCCTCCACCTAGCGGTGCCGGCACACCAGGTTCTAGTCCCGGTCGGGGTGCCGGATTCTGTCCCGGTTGCCCCTCTTCCAGGCCAGCTCTCTGCTGTGGCCCAGGAGTGCAGTGGAGGATGGCCCGAGTCCTTGGGCTCTGCACCCGCATGGGAGACCAGGAGAAGCACCTGGCTCCTGGCTTCGGATCAGCGCGCCAGCCATGGCAGCCACTGGAGGGTGAACCAACAGCAAAAGGAATACCTTTCTCTCTGTCTCTCTCTCTCTCTCTCACTGTCCACTCTGCCTGTCAAAACAAAACAAAACAAAACAAAAGATTGCTCTCCTCTCTAACCACATCACTCATCTTTGCCCCCTTGGCATTCAGTACTCCATCTCCCCAAAACTGTAGACCAGAAATTCAACCACTGGACCCAGTTCTCTCTCATCACCCTGACTTAGCACAGACAGACCTCTCTCCTTGGATTCCTTTCCTTGTAGAATTTTTAATCCTGAACCATCTTTTGGAATTCTGAGCTGGGGTTTCCTCATTCATGCTTTCTTTCATAACCCTTGCCCTTGAATCCCTTAGGCTTCCTCCAGCATAATGTCTCAAAGTGTATTGCAGTCATCTACATCTTCCTAACAGAGACCATATCTTATTCAGGAATGTTCTGCTCTCCTGTTGAGTGCAATGAGTCAGCCATGCTTCTGCTCTGCCATCCATAGTTCATAGCCTTGTCCTGCCTGGGATTATTAGTACACCATGGCAAGACTGTTTCTGTCCTTGAGAGATTCATATCCTCATTTCAAGGCTTCAAGAAGGAGGTAAGAAGGCAGCAGGTGGAATAGGGTTTTAATCAAGGAGAGGAAAAATAAGCTCCCAAAAGAATTCCTCTAATGCCTGCTTCATTGTCCATAACTGAGTCACATGGCTCTCCATCACTGCAAGGAAGCCTGGAAGGCCAGTGTCTAAGAAAGTAGAAAGGATTGTCAGAGTTGGTCCCCCAACAACTCATTTCCTGGAGCTGGTACATGGCCTCTGGAAACAACTTGAGATTTCGTTGGCCAGAAAGAGGTTCTGGCTTTCAACAGTCAAATGTCAGTATCTGCCACACTGAACTGAATTTTACAAAACAAAAAAAATAAAACACACTCTTAAGCACTGTATCAGCAAGAAGTAAAAAATAAGGAAAAATAAATACTATATAAGGAGGTGATCACATATTTGTGTTTATCTGTTGGGGCTCAAATGCATGCTTTCTGCCAGAATTACCTGTGCTTAACTATTTAATCTAACTTGGAAAATAAATGAAGTTCCAATGTCATGCACAGAAAAGATGGGCCTACCTTCATAGAATCAAACACACACACACACACACACACACACACAACTATGTGTATATATATATATATATATATCTGTTTATAAAATATGGATTGGAAACTGTCTGCATGAGCTAATAAGTTTTACTTGATACATATGTTGAGAAGATTTGGTGAGCCTTAGAGACAGGTTAGAAAAAAAAAATTGGGTCTCTGTAATTACTATACCTACTAGCTAGGTTCATCATTCACAGATTTGGAGAACATTACTGTCAGGATTTTGTTGTTGTTATTTTTACTTTTAGTAAGTGGCTCTCTTCTCTGAAGACATTCAATCCTAAATTGTATGTCAAGTCACATCCACTAAAATGTATAAAGGACACAGTCAAATATAAACCTTGTGTATTTTTATTCCTTCTATTGAAATGATTTCACACAACCTGAGGAAAAAAGTTAGTAGTTAACTCAGAAGATTAGTGCACAGGATGAATAAAGATAGCACCATGGGGTAGATATCTATCAAATCAATGCACATTGTCCCCTCAAAACAATGCACACTGCTCCCCAACTGCTCAAGGAAGCTAATAGAAATACTATCCCATTGCTATAATATCCTATTGATTTGTCTTCTAGGCATATATGTATGAATAGACAAGAACTATTTTTTAAGGATTTATTTATTTGAAAAGCAGAGATACAGAGAGAAGGTGAGAGAGAGAGAGAGAGAGAGAGAGAGAAAGTCTTGCATCCACTACAGGGGCCCAAGTACTTGGGTCATCTTCTGCTACTTTCCCAAGCACATTAGCAGGGAGCTGGATTGGAACTGGAGTAGCCAGGACTCAAACCAGCGTCCAAATGGGATGCTGGCAGAGCAGGCGGAAACTCAACCTTCTATACCACAGCACCATCCCCAACAAGAGCTAGTTTTGGTCCTTGGTTGAGAGGATTGGAAGGTAAGGATTGGAGCAGGGGTTAGGACTTGTTGCTTCTTAGAACTCAAATCCCACAAAACATTCTGGCGTGAAGAAGCATGTACCAGGGATACAGGGAAAAACCCTACTTAGCAACCCATGGATCTGGGCTTACATCTCAGCCTTTCTACTTTTTCACTGTGAGTTTATGGAATTTATTTAGGAGCCTCTCTGACCCTCAATTTCCTCATTAAGTTAGTAACACCTCAGGGAGTTATATGAGGATTAAATATATAAATGAAATAATTAACAGCTTACAAAATGGCCCAGAAAAAAATGTGTGTTCAACCACTGTTAATCTCCTAAATGAATATTAGTACTAACTCCAAGCTCTATTGATGGTAAGTCAACAGTAAGGTATGCCTATGAAAAGATGTATGTCTATAATAAATAATAGGAAAACATGTGAACAATGATCTTGTGTTTTAGGCTACTTATGTCACTATAATATCAATTAATTGAGACAGATGGTCTACATTAACAAAATACTTGTTATCTTTATTTCAGTATTTTCAAAAGCAGCAAGTTTAAGGGCTGACGATATTTGAAAGACTGTAGAATAGCACAGAATTGAACTAAGGTCTGTCACCACAGATTGAATGTGTTGATTTTGTTTCCCCAAAGGTATCCATCCACATAGCAACTTGGCAGTAACAATTATCCTAAAAAGTCTAACAGTTTTTATGAAAAATAATAATTGTACCCTTATCTAAAATGTTACGTCCCAATTTCATTTTAAAGACTCATAATACTTTTCTTTTATATATATATCATATAAATTATATATATAAATTATATATAATATGTATATTATATATAATATACATATTATATATATATTTTGGCAGGCAGCGTGGACATTGAGAGAGAGAGAGAGAGAGAGAGAAAGGTCTTCCTTTACCGTTGGTTCACCCTCCTATGGCTCCCGCGGCCAGCGCACCGCGCTGATCCGAAGCTGGGAGCCAGGTGCTTCTCCTGGTCTCCCATGCGGGTGCAGGGCCCAAGGACTTGGGCCGTCCTCCACTGCACTCCCGGGCCACAGCAGAGAGCTGGACTGGAAGAGGAGCAACCCGGACAGAATCCGGCGCCCTGACCGGAACTAGAACCCGGTGTGCTGGCGCCGCAAGGTGGAGGATTAGCCTATTGAGCCGTGGCGCTGGCCAAAGACTCATAATAGTTTTCATAAGGTGCCATTTTTTATTCGAATCCTGTCATTGTAGATTGAAAAGAAGGATGCACACACAAAACTAGGTACTTAACTCAAGAAGGTATTTTCTCTGTTATATAAATCCAACCTTATTGATTAAAGGGATATAAAATGTAACTGTGAACCCAGGGAACTACTCTCAGTTACACTGTAATTAGAGCTCATTTTTTCAATCTGTCAATTACAGTTAATTTAAGGTCATAACCCATCCTCAGAATCTCTCATATCCTGTACAGCACTTATCAGATGCCTGCTATAGAGCCAATGCCCAATGAATGTTTACCACATTGCACAAGTTGATCATCCATCTTATTCACTCACTTGGCTTTGAACAACTTACACTTTTTTTTTCCTGCAAAAATTAAGTCCACCCACAAAGGAAAAAGGCAGAAGGATATTGTGGCAAAAATGCTATCCTGGAAAACGATCTTGGTTCTGGTCCCAGATCCATGTGACTTTGGACAAATCACTGGATCTTTCTAGATCAAATTTCCTCATGAAATGAAAATACTATGCAAAATGCATGCACCAGGCTACAAAACAAGGTACACTCTAAGAAATTTAAAATAATGTACCTGGAACTGTAGACACTTGCAGAGAGACTATAAAATTGTTTTGAATAATTTCAGAAATACTGGGTTAAATTCTAACATTCCAGGATAATTGCTTCACAGAAAATAATGCACATTTATGTTTTCTCTTATGTTTTAAGGGGTTTTTTGGTTGTTGTTTTTTGTTTATTAAATTGCATTACCTTAGAAAGTAGATGTCAGCAAAAGTCTGAAGTTGCTTGGTATTTTTGTCAATCACTATTTAGAGTTTTTCTTTGTTTTTCTTTAATGTATTTGGCTTGGGATAAAAACATTTGTGTGATATAATGAGAAAGAAATAAAAAAGTTCAATCTATTGCTCTTTCAACCTTACCTTTACCTTATGACACATCTGATGCTCTTTTTTAAAAATTTATTTATTTATTTGAAAGGCAGAGATACAATGAGAGAAGGAGGAGTGGGAGAGAGAGAGAGAGAAAAAGAGAGAGAGAGAGAGATTTCATCCACAGGTTCACATCCCAGATGGCAGCAACAACTGAAGCTTGACCAGGAGTTGATTCCGGGTCTCACATGTGGGTACAGGGACCCAAGAACTTAGGCCATCTTGTGCTGCTTTCTCAGGCACATTAGCAGGGTGCTGCATCAGAGGTTTAGCACCCAGGACCAAAGCTGGCATTATGGGATGCCGACACTGCAGGCAGACGCATAGCTACAGCGCTGGCCCCAGATCTGACGCTCTTAAGGAATTCACAAGGTTATTAAAGACTTGAAAGATCTTAGATTCCTACAAAGTGTTTACAGAGGTTCACATTTTGCCAAGTCATATACAAGAAGCTAAAGAGTAAGCTTGCTTTATCTACAATCTGTGTCACACTTGTTCTTTTCTATGAATGTTTCTTTGATAGTTATGCAAAGTTACCAATCAGAGATTCCCCATCAAAATGATTGTTATGTAACTGGTCATGCAGCAAGATATACTCATATCCATCTGAGAGAGAATTTTCTAGCTTATACACATATTGGGCTGGTGTTTGAGCTATGGTTAAGACACCTGCATCCCATATCAGAGTGCCTGGGTTTGAGTCCCAGCTCTAACCCTTGACTCCAGCTTCCTGCCAATATATGCCATGGAAGGCAGCAGGTGATGTCTCAAGTACTTGGGCCTTTGCCACTCATAAAGGAAACCTGGATTGAACTCCCAGCTCACAGCTTTAGCCTGGCTCAGTCCTGGATGCTGAGGGCATTTAGAGAGTAAACCACAGATGGGAACACTCTCCATCATTCTTCCTCTCCTCTCCTCTCCTCTCCTCTCCTCTTCTCTCCTCTCCTCTCCTCTCCCTCCCCACTCCCTATCCCTCTCAAATAAATTAATAAGTAAATAAAATTTTACATTCATATAATCCACAGCTAGTACACAGTTTAAAAAGTTTGGGCCTTTATATTGCTGGGGAACTGCTTTGTTTTGTTTAGATCTGCACATAAGTGCATTTCCTTTCTCATCTCCTAATGTATGGCATAAATGGAAATCTTCACTCACTCAGATCTCACTGTAGACCCAATGAATGGCACAGATCCGACACAAACACCCACACACTTCCCTCAGTTACAGATCTGTGCTGAAGACCAGAAGTTGGCCATGGCTACAATGAATATACACTTCTGTTGGATTTCCATGGTATTTGGTTTCATTGGATTGTGTTAGATTAAATATTTTTTTAAGTTTCATTCTTTTTATCTCAAAGTTAGGGTGCCTGTGAGGGGTTCACAAGAGGATTGGGGCTGTCATGTCAGTCTCCTGAGCCAAGAGAGGAACCTCTGAAGCCATATCAAAGCTGCCAAGCCCAGGCTCATACTGGAATACTGTGGAGCCGAACCAATTTTTAAATGTCTTCATCTGGTCCCTCCTACTTTCATGGTTGCTCTGGGGGTGGTGAGAATTGGGACGCAGTGAAAGCTGCTGGGACATCTGACTCTTTATTTTCTTGGCTCTCTGCATCTTAACTATGCAACAGTCCTCCCAACTGAGCAGATTTCACTTTTGAGAGCAGAGGCTAAAGGAGATGCATCAAGTGGGGCAGGAGCCTTCACTGCACTTTAGGGAGAGTGCAGAAGAGGTATCCACAGTCCCCAGATACTGTGGGCCAACCTGCCAATCAATGTCACTCCTTCCATAATCTAACCTGAATTTGCATCCTACAACATGCTGATACGAATAGGTGTCCCCCAGGGGAACCTGATTTTAATGGTCTCAAATATCTAAGAATCAGTTATAGGGTTTCAAACTGTTCTTTGCTGCACCAAACACAACACCAAACCCCATTATAAAAGTCACTGGATAATTTGGTTTCGTATCAGAGCTTTCTACCAATATCTTGGATCATGCTGGACTGGTAGGAGTCATTAATGTCCCCTTATGGAGGTAGTCAGGCAAGTTCTGGAAACTCCTGTGGCACAGAGATAAGACAAAGAATTCTGCATGGTGAAGAAGGACATTTCTCCCTCCCACCTCCACTCATGGAGAAGGAAATGTCTGCTGAGCTTTTGGGAAGGTGTATATTCCAATCTGATTGGGCTAAAACTAGCATTCTTGGTGCCGCATCCTAACAGAGAGTGATGTCATTGTAACTTCAGAAAGACACAAACATGGCCTGCTCCCTTCCTCTCTCCCTAGACCCAGTCAGAGCAGGTCTTTCCTCACTTTCTCTCTAGGTGTATAAACCATTTGTCAGAGGGTCAGTACCTTACTCCTCTTCTCCTGACACAAAAGGCAGTCAGGTCTCCCAGTGGGATACGTTCTGGGGCTTCCTGGGAACAGCCATCCGTGGAAAGCAGGCCCTTGGCTGCCCGTCTCCTTTTGTCTGGCACTGGTAGGTGCAGCAGACTGACCTTCTGCACACTCTAGGAATGAGGTCCTTGGGGCTTGAGAGGCCTCATCTGGCTCCCCCGGATTATACTGAGTTCTCAAATCCATCTTTTAACAAAGCCCAACAATCAGGGTCTGTTAGCCCAGCAGTCAGCCAAGTTGGTTCTTTCACTCCCACTCAGTTATGGCTCTTTGCATTACACAATCAAAACCCCCAAACAAAAACCCAACCAACCCTCACACAGAGCTGTCTAAATAGAACATGGTTTTTCCATAATCATTCGTAAAGCACAAACAGAATTTCAAAGCACATTCACATTATCCTCAGGAAAGAATTCAGGTTTTTTCATAGCAAATATTGAGCTATAAGATGAAAATTTTAAAATCAGTGTATAATTTATAACATCTTTTTTAACCCTAACATCCTAAGACTTAGTGTTCTGTTGAGCATAAAAACACAATTTAAATTTCTGCAGATTCACAGTGCTATTGCATGATAGATTTTATATCTTGGTGCCTCCTATCTATTTAATCACTCAACGAGAATTCTTTGGAGCCTACTGTAGAAAATGTAAATTCCAAATAATCCCCAGGATGAAGTCATCCCCATATCAATTAGACTGGCTTCAATAAATACCACAGCCAGCCGTTGCCATGTGTTGCAAATAAACAATAAACAGATATTCTTTGTACCTTTTAACAGAAAGCTCTTCCTTACCCAAAGAAAGTTATTCCTATAAAAGTCTGTCTCTCAAAGTTCTTTTCTTGTGGTGTTTCTGATACCAGTACAATCAGGAAGCAATGAAAGTGTTCACTGAGAAGCCAGTTTTCACAGAGCCAGGCAGGCCAATGAGAGTGAAGATTAACTCAAATAAACTTCGGAATGCCAGCCAAAGCCCTGCAACTCGTCAGCAGTTCACCCACTGAGAGTGATTATGCTTTTTCAGGAGAACCTTATCCTGAGATGACCTGACCACAAGGCCAGTGTCAGATGATACAGGAAATCAGGTGTTCAGTGTGAATTTTGCTGGCACCAAGTCACCAAGTGCATTCCCATGCACTTTAGCTGTCACGTTCGCTGATGAGAAACAGTACCTTTTCAATCTCCGGCCAAACTTGCAAGACTGGGATTTCACTCCTTCAGGATCTAACCCTCAGTGGATTTGGGGTTAGAAAAACAGTAAACTAATTGAAGCATCTTTGTTATTTCACTTATATGGCATTTTTTGATGGTCATTTTACTTCCATACAATGGCCACTGTACATTGCACTTCGTTACTGAAGATACACCAAAGTCATTCAAATATTGGAAATGAAAGAGTTCAACTGATGATTGACACTGACCTTTCTCCCAACAAATATTCACTTAGTATGTTACAAAGCTTGATTTCTCATATTGGTGTTTTATAGCATCTTGATTTATAGTTGAGTACATGTGAAAGCTCTGTCAGCATCTCCATTATAAGGCCATGTTTTTGTGGGTTTATAAATAAGCTGTTAAAAAGTAATGTGGACTGAAACTCAGAATGCCATGTTTCCACCTTGATCTATAAAGCTGGCCCATTGATATGTGCCACACAAATGCCTGCACATGTAGACCTACATTCTCATCAGATTTCTGCAACTATTGTTTTGTGAAATACATTCATTCAATATATCTCCTTAATGAAAAAGAATTGAAAGAATGCCAAGGCTATGAAGTGAAATTAAACAAAGCTGTCATCAAATGGTAGCAACTTATATCCTAAGATATATTTTAGTAGATATGAAAGTTAATTTAATGACAAAAAAAGTGTTGTCTAGTTTTCATAGTTAAGGATTAAAGGGCAGAAAGATGATTTAATACCTCCACAAAAGAATCACTTTATCTTAACCAGAAATGCTTGCAACTTTCTTCCGCACTATACGGTAGATATTCTCTGAAACTCTTTGTAGATGCAATCTAACATCCTTGAACACATTTATTACAATTCATCTTCTACACAGCAACAGACAGGGCCATGCTCATACACCAGAGCTGGAGCTAGGTCTGGTAAGGCATTAAGGAATCCTATCCATGTGTCATCCAAAGCTTGCAGGCCCACTGCCTGCCTATAAAAGGGAAAAAGGATTTCTGATACACAAATTCCTTCCTAAGACACAGAAAGCTGTTGTCTTCAATTCACATCTTAACCCATTTCTGTATTACTTGACTGTTTTCAAACGCTAAAACATACCTGAATAAATTTTCCATGCTTCTCTTTAAGATGACTGTATTTTTCATTTACATGATCATGAAATCTGTTAGCAAGTGAAAAACAGAATCATTTTCACTGAGACAAAAAACATTGTGAATTAGTGGAGAAAAATTCTGAGACAAGATAACCAAGAGTATAATCTTTTGACAGAGATAAAGAAGAGGATATGTCTGAAAAAAATCACTGACATTTCTTAATCATAGAACATACACAGACAAATAAGATTCAAGAATGAAAAAGGTAATTTGATCGGAACTGAAGTTGTGATTCATGGATCTGTTTTAGCCAGTGAAAAAATTATACATCCAAGATTGAAGCACAGGTTACTGTGTTAATGGCCAGTTGAAATCCTAAATCTAGCACTTATAAGAATCATGACTTTGCACTAGCTACTGAATTTCTCTCTGCCTTGGCTTACTCTTTGGGAAAGCAGATAAATAGTATCTGCCTTGTAGATAGGTTTCAAGGCAGAAATGAATTCATGAAAGGAAAATCCTTTCAATGTCTGGTACATAATAAGTCCTATATAAATATTAACAATGATTATTAAATGACGAAACTCAGAAGGAAAATTCTGTAGCTAAGTAGTGACATTACTGAGTATGTCAAAATCATATATTATCCTGCAAGCCTAGCTCTTTATAATCAAGAAATTCTAACCAAGAGGGAGGCCACATACTCAGGACACAGTGGGTAAGAATAAAGGCAATATTGGCTTCCTTGTTAAGGGCTTTGTAAAAGAAGACCGGGAAGAAATATTCCAAATTGCAAAACATTTCACACTGATCCTTGCCTGTGACATGGTGAGTTTTGTATGTGACGATAAGGAGGAACTAATTTGTCTCTACTTCCTGATGTTGCTTAAGGAAGTAGGTAAAACTAAGGTCTAAACAGAGAAGTTGGTCTCATGAGTGGGGGCAGGGGAGGGGGAGGAATAAAATTATCCTACCCCCAGAAGAAGATTCTTCATTGTCAAATGTCATCCTGGTTATATTAGAAAATGGAGAACATTGCCCTCTCCTCTCTTCTCTGTACCTGGAGGAGAGGGGAACCTAAGACTGCACAATTCAGTGAAGGGAGCAATTGAAGATGATTTGGGTGCCAATCAACCTACAGTCATTACAGGGACAATAGTTTACCTCTCTTCTTACCATATGATTGGCTCAAAAGAATGTACCAAAGCCAGCTGACAAGTGGCTTGTGTTGTGGCACAGCGGGTTAAGCAATTGCCAGTGATGCAAGCAACCCATGTAAGCACTGGTTCTAATCTAGGCTGCTCCACTTCTGATCCAGTTTCCTGCTAATGTGCCTGGGAAAGCAGCAGAAGATAGCCTAAATGCTTGGACCCCTGCACCCCATGGGAGTTTCAGGTTCCTGACTTTGGCTTGGCCCAACCGCAGTCATTGTGGCCATATGGGTAGTGAAACAGTGGATGGACAATATTCTTTCTCTGTCTTTGTGTGTGTGTGTATCTGTTTGTATAAGTCTTTGCCTTTCAAATAAATATTTTTAAAAAGCCAGAAGGCAAAACACAAAATAATCTGATCAGAGGGTTCCCTGGTATGGAACCTTATCCATTTAGCCTAATGGCTTAGATACCTGCATCCCATATCGGAGTGGCTTGATTTGATAACTAACTCTAGTTCTTGACTCCAATTTCCTACCAGTGCTGACCCTGAGAGGCAGAAGTAATGGCTCAAGTAATTGGGTCCCTACCACCCACATGGGAGACCCTAATTGAGTTCTTGGCTCCTAGCTTTGGCTTAGCCCAGCTGTGCTTGTTGTAGGCATTTGGAGAGTAATCCAGCAAATGAGAGACCTCTCTCTTTCTCTCCCTCCCTCCCTCTCTCTCTCTGACAAATAAATAAATAATAATTAATTAATAAAGTGCTTCCATGCTTTAAAAATTTCTACTTTTCAAAGTGCCATGAAGACATAGTTGGATTAATTATCCCTGTCATACAAGAGACTTTCTGGACACAGAATGACAAATCTTATCTTGCTCTCCTCTCATCATTTCCTGTGACTCCAGAGTCAAGGTGAGAATAGGCTTCTAGGTACTGTCAACAAGTAAAGAAGTTTGGGTATGCCGACTTCAACAAACAGAACTCCTTGCAGGGAGAGATCGACGGTGGATGTGCTCATCCAAGACAGTTATTCCTATGGTGTCGGTCACTCCACCCTAGAGCTATGTTTCACCTGCAAAAAGGAGCCCCACACATGGGAAGGCACATGAATATACCCTCTGGCCCAAGGTTTTATAGTCACACTTAATAAGAGCAATGGCGGCCAGTGCCGCAGCTCACTAGGCCAATCCTCCTCCTGTGGTGCCAGTACCCCAGGTTCTAGTTCTGGTCGGGGCGCCAGTTGCTCCTCTTCCAGTCCAGCTTTCTGCTGTGGCCCTGGAAGGCAGTGGAGGATGGCCCAAGTGCTTGGGCCCTGTACCCGCATGGGAGACCAGGAGGAAGCACCTGGCTGCTGGCTTCGGTTCGGCACAGCACACCGGCCATAGTGGCCATTTGGGGGGTGAACCAGCGGAAGGAAGACCTTTCTCTCTGTCTCTCTCTCACTCACTGTTTAACTCTGCCTGTCAAAAAAAAAAAAAAAAAAAAAAAAAAAAAAAAAAAAAAAGCAATGGCAAAGGCAAAGGAAGGCAAGCTTCTGTTATTTTCTAATGCAATTCCCAAGCTTGTTCAATGGAAAAATACAGCTTGGTTGCCTCTCCCCACCCTTTATTGAATTTCACTGCATATTTTCAGGATCAAAGGATTCAGTCTTCCTCCCATTTCTGCCTTATTATTTGAAAATAAGAGAATTTAATAAAAACTATTAAGGTTCTGTTTGTTTATTTGAGATTCAGAGAGAGAGAGAGAAAGAGAGAGAGCGCGCGCAAGCCCACATCTGCCATTCTCCTCCCCATCTCCTCAAATGCCCACAATAACTGGGAATGAGTTGAAACAAAGCCAGGAGCTGGAAATTAATCTGGGTCTCTCACACAGGTGGCAGAAACCCAACTACTGAAATATTACATCCCGCCTCCTGGCTTCAGCATAAACAGGAAGCTGGAGTCAGGAGTTGGAGCTGGGGATGGAAACCAACTACCTTAATATGGGACTCAGGCAACCTAAGTGGCATTTTAAGTAGTAGGCCAAATGCTCACCACTTTCTATGAATTTTTGAAGATTCCTGATAACAATGGATTTCAAAAAAAGTTTCATAGCATGAAAGCTTACCTTTTAATTTCATTTTCCATGAAGTCTGATGTCCCCTCACAGTCGCGACTATGAGTTAACTCCTACATTTAAAACACTGTACTGAGTACTTTATACATGTTAGTTCATATTCCTAGTAAAACTCTATAGGAAAATATAAATATGTTCATTTGTCAGATGGAAAAACTTAAATTCATTGAAATGAAATCACCTGTATGCTTACGACAAAATTGGAAAGACAGAAGTGGAGGTCAACTGTGTCACCCACAGGAAACTAGCTCTGAAGTTCTTGTTGAGTGAGAGGATAGCCTTCTTTAGCATACATATTAGAGTAGCTAACACACAAAGTAGCTGACAGCTCTTGTTTGTTGATGCCCACATGAGCCAGGTACTGTATTTGTCAGTCTGCATACTATCCTGTTTAATCCTTACAAAAATAGGCATTATTTTCCTACTTTATAAATGAGGAAATAGGCTTGAAAAAGAATGATTCAACTTGTCCCAAGTCACACTATTCCTTGATCCAAAACCAGGATTCTGATTCTTACTTCCTGACCACCATGGCTGGATTTGGGCCACTGTTTTGTCATACACAGTGCCAGATCTCCTGTGGCCAACATGGACTGTTCTGTTATTTGCAGGACCTCAAGGGGCAAGTAGGGTGAAGAACGAAGTCTTCTTGGTTATCCTCCTTAAAAGTTGGTTATATCTCAATTTTCTCAGGAGTTCTTTATGACTCATATTAAGAAATGAGGAAAATGCCTTTGGCGACATTCCCAAGAATATGCTTAACAGTTGTACAGTGGTGTAACTTAACAAGCTTTAAAACAAAGCATACAGTCGAGCATATTCCAATCAGCCTTACTCACTTACCTTTCCTTTAGGGATTGCTCCAGGAGTTATTTGAGTTTGGGTTCATTACCAGACCCAGTTTAGGCAGTTCCCCAGATAGGATTCACTGCCCTACAATCCCAGTCCCCAGTCTGCAGCTGCTTGCTCTAGTCAATGGCCCACATTACCACCATCATCCCTTATCCTGCCACACCAGCATCTCAAACTCTGCTACTGTAGCAGCCACAGTGGTTCTTGGAAACTTGACCAAATTGGATGGATCAATGCACCTGTAACTCCTGCAAAATTTCCAACTCTACACAATGCACTATGCTATGGTATAGGAATACTGCTTCCTCAGTGATTATCTGGAGGTAACCAAGTCCAAAACTATTAACACCCCACACAGTGAACTTTGGCCAGTGAGAGAGGGGAGATAGGAAGGAGAATACAATAAATTCCACTTCTTTTTCCTTCTAACACAAAGATTATCCAACAACTGCCATAGGGCCAATCTGGCCTGCTTCCAATTTTTTTTTTAAATAAAGTTTTATTGGAATGTAGCACCACCCATTCATTTACTATAGCTATGATTTCTTTTGTGCCTCAACAGCACAGCTGAGTAATTGTGACAGAGTCCATATGCCCGACAAAGTCTAAGATATTTACTGTATGGTCCTTTATAGGAAAAGTCTCCCTCCACCTTCTATCCTAAGGGACTGTAGAGATGGTACAAAATCTGGAAACTGGAAAATGCAGTGCAGAATGCAGCCCCCAGTTATGTTTCTTCTGGAGCTGTGAAGAGCTGAATTGTGTATCCTTCTGTATTTGGTTCCCTCCTTCATGCCTCACTTTCCTTTCTGCCTCATCCCTTCTAATCTGAGATGGCATCTATCATTAAATGAACATTAAGCACTGTCACAGGCTGCATTTTTTACAGAATCAGGACAAAGAGAGCTAAAAATATAAGGCCACTTTCATGAATTTTGTTCTTCCTAAATGCACTGATTTTTTTTATATAAATTGTGTGAATCCATCTTGAAAAAATGCTCAGGATCACTGTCCTTCATGGAAATGCAAATCAAAACCACAATGGAATTTCACCTCACCCCAGTTAGAATGCCTCTCATACAGAAATCAACAAACAATAAATGCTAGTGAGATGTAGGGGAAAATGTACCCTAATCCACTGTTGGTGGCAATGTAAACTGGCCCAACCACTGTGCAAGACGGTATAGAGAGACCTCAGATATCTGACTATAGACCTGCCATATCATCCAACCATCCCACTGCTGGGAATTTACCCAAACCAAAAGAAATCAGCATCTGAAAGAATTATCCATATCCCCATGTTCATTGCAACACAATTCACAATAACTAAGATATAGAATCAACCCAGATGCCCACCAACTGAAGACTAAATAAAGAGATTATGGTATATATACAATACGGAATACTATTCAGCTGTAAAAAAAAAAAAAAGAAAAGAAAGAAAAAGAATTCTTCTTTTACAACACAATGGATGTGCAACTGGAAACCATTATACTTGGTGAAATAAGCCAATCTTCAAAAGACAGATATCATATGTTTCCCTAATCTGAAGTAACTAATAGAGTACCTAAAATGGAATGCATTGTAGTGAAATGGTAATTTTGATATTTAATGATTTTTTATAGCCCTTGCCTCTTCCGTTGAGCAACAGTTTTTTAAAAATTTTTTCTTTATACTATTTGTTGGACTCTTTTATTTACTGTAGTGTTAATTTTATGATCATTAAGTAAACTAAAAGCAGACCTTCATAAAAATAAGAGTGTGAATGGGAGAGGGAGTAGGAAGAAGGGTTGGAGCATGGGTGGGAAGGAGGGTAGGGTGGGAAGTATCACTATGTTCCTAAATCTGTGTGTATGAAATACATGAAACTTATATAATTTAAATACAATTTTAAAAAATTAAAAATAATCATTTTTAGTTCTGCCATGTTAATTCAAGTAAGTTTTACAAAACCATTGCATGTGGAAGATCTCTAATGAAGATATTGTGAAAATCCAAACCAGTTTTACTTATATCATGTTTATTTTTTGAGCTTTATTGCCATGCATGATTCCCCTCAACTATAGTATCTTGTACTTGGTAGCACGCAGTGAGAAGTCACATGTGTTTTCTATGTTCACGTTTAATGAGAATTATGATTGGCAACCTTCCTCCACCAAAGCTCAATGTCATCTTGCCTCTGTTGTGATTCTCCAATAACTGTCAATCTATTCCTGTCTCTGCTATACTTTTCCCTATCAGTTATAAAGTTTTAATTTACAAATTTTATTAAACCATCAACAGAATACTCACTTTAAGCCTAAAGAAAAACATCAGCTGCTGAGATGGACAAGAAATTGAGCACACATTGTAAAAAGTGGACACGGTGAGGGCCATTCAAATATGCATATTGAGGGCAGGCATGTGGCCTCGCAATTAAGCTACTGGCTGAGATATTGGATGTCTGGGCTCAAGTCCCAGCTCCATGCTTGATTCTAGACCCCTGCTAATACAGACTCTAGGAGGCAGCAAGTGATGGCTCATAGTTGGGTCCCTACCACCCACATAAGAGAACTGGATTGAGTTCTTGATTCCTGGCCTCAGCCTGGCCCAGACCCAGTGATTGCAGGTACAGGCATTTGGAAAATGAACCAATGGATTGGAAGTTTCTCTCCCCCACCCTGACACCACCTTCCTCAAATAAAAAAAAATGCATGAGTACATATCATAATTTGCCTTGTCTCATACCTTGCTTACTAAGGAAGTTCTCTTGAGACAGGAAAAGTACAAAAGATAATACCAATGTGAATTTGACCTGAACCATTAATGTTCTTAAAACCCAAGATAAGACATACTTTCTACAGGTAGACAAGATATCTAGCCTACATCCTCTCCCTTCCCGTCTCTTTATCTGTTTTTAAGATGATATACACCAGTTAAAATAAAAAGGGAGCAAGAGCCTCCATCAGGGACATTCAATGAGCCCATATTACAAAGTGGGAAGTAGACTTGGACATCTCAGTCAGGTCTGACCACGAGAGATCTTGGAACAGAGTTGTAGAAAAAGAATTGCCTTGATTCCTTCCTCAACTTCTCCTCCCATTTCTCGGGCCAAAATGCATGATCTGCTCTCCAGTTATTAGGGGATGAACTTCACAGCTCTTGGTTGTCTTTTCAACATATTCGGCTATAGATGACCACAAAAGAAGTCATGATCAGACTTCAGAAATAGAGATTGAAGTGGAGGCAGCCATACAAAACTCAGGGACTGTGCTTCACTTGACAACAGCTGCATTCTTCCTAGCCTTTTTATCTTCTGCTTTCATAGGGACATTCACTTGTGAGTGTAGAAAGTGAAATAAAATCTAAACCTCACTAAAAAGTCATCATGCTTTGATCCAAAAGAAAACTTTTGCTTTCCATTAAATCTTGTCTTAATATCCATAGCAACTCCACCTTTGCAAGTAGAAATCAATCTGCAGATCACTGCTTTAGCTGGTATTGAAGTACCAGCCTTAAAGAAGCCATAAACATTCTAATTAGTAAACTTAATCAACTCATTGCTGTTACTCTCAATACTATACATCTGCTTCAGTTCCAAAAGTAAGCTAGCCATAATTATTTAGAATATTAGAAGTCTGCAAATGTGTAATGAACTTAGAACAACAGATAAGACCTTAAAATTTGGTTAATTTTGTTCTCACTGTATGATTAAAATCCAGTAAAGTTCAAATAAGATTTAGGGAGAAAAGTAAGAGTGGCTTTCCTTGTAATTATGCATAAACTACAGAAATAAAAACTCTTATAATTCAAGAAAAAATCAAAGATCTATATTAATCTTGCTAAACCAATACTTGCCACTGCAGTCCTTGCACTTCAGAATCATCTTCTAGAGATCTAATATAGAACATAAATGTCCAGATTATCATAAACAAAATATTCTGATGGTTTCCAAATAGTGTCATCTGTGTCTAGATGTTTGAATAAAAATGCAATTCTTCACTTATCCTCCAAAAACTAAAACAAAGTCAACAAAAAGTCCAGTTACAATTCTTCTTGAATTTCATTTTAAAATCTCTTATTTACATGTCTTAGAATCCCTTCCAGTGTGTTTAAGTCTGCTGTAAGTTTCAGAAATAATGCTTTCACAAAAATTAGTGTTAAATGTAGTAGGAAAAGGGTGGCCATTAAGTGCAGTGGTGAAAACACCCCTTAGGACACCCACACCCTGTATTAGAGTACCTGGGTTCAAATCCCAGCTTTGCTTCCAAGTCCAGCTTCCTAATAATATGCACCCTGGGAATCAGCAGATCAAGGCTCAAGTACTTTGGTCCCTGCTACCCACAAGGAACACTTGGATTGAGTGGAGGGCTCCTATCTTCACCCTGCCCCAGGCCCAGCTGCTGCAAGCATTTGGGGTAGTGAATCAGCAGATGGAAGATCTTTGTCCATCTGTCTATGCATTCTCCCCCTCTCTGTCATAAATAAG